AACAATATTATAGATATCTGCACAGGACAAGTTTTTAAGATTAAACTGAACAGTAACAATATGTCGTACAGTTTCTACTGACAGTCGATTACGCTCATCGCTCCACTGAGTATTAATAAGTGAAAATATCCGTTCACAATTCGCGTTATGGCCTGGTATCGCGAAAAAATACTGTGCAATTTTTAATATTTCTGAATACAATTCAGTGTTAGAGTTTGCACAGAAAAAGTTGCATATCTTCGAATTACAGCATTGTTTAAAGAATTCTTCATCGTTCTCTTTTTGATTCAAAAATTTCTTAAGATTTACGAATTGATTGAAAGTTTTTGAATCGTCAAGAACGATATTTTTGGACGCCAGAAATATAATGGTTTCTTCTACATATTTATAATCCAGCACAACTTTCTGTTTGAAATTCAACCATTTGAACACCTAAAGCATAAAAATTATACCATTTTGTAACCAATAAAAAAATTCAGAAAGAAGAAATTTTGAAAAAATTAAATGTATTTACCTCAAACTCGGAAAACGACTCACTCCACTTTCGCAAATACTCTTCCGTTGCTTCGTATACTGACAGTGCCCTTGCTGCAAAATTGTCACAGCTACTGTCTTTCCCATCTTTTTTTAATTTTGAAAATACAAGCTTGATGCTCAATGGCAGAAATTTGGAATCTATCCTTTCGCGTAATGATTCAACAGTGTCTCCAATAATAGCCATTATTTCCAATATGCTGTTGTTTTCTTTCTCAATGTCCTTAATTTTTTCATAGAAAAGTGACATTATAGAATGTACAAAGTACAGATAGCATTCGCTGAAGTCATCGAGAAAAAAAGCTTCGAGTATTTTTGGCGGTTTGTTTTGGGATAAAAAATAGGATTTTAAGGCCGGAAACATTTGTAAAATTCGATGAACAGCAGGCAGCAGGCTCAGCCATCGCGTCTTGCTGTGGTATAATAGGTTACGATAAGTGACTTCGACAAAGTCGCAGAATTCTTTTAATTCATTTGTTCTGACCGTGTAAATTGAAAAAAAATTGAAGATCTTGAGAACCAGGGCATCAATATCGAACAGGCCAAATTGATCGAGACCGTGATGAATCGCATTATGGAGAATATGCGCCGGACAACCAATTCCGACGAGTTCAGAATTTACACGATTTTTTAGTAAATGAAAAATATTCTGTTCACCCTTACGATTCAAACCACCAAAGTTGGTATTTGTATTATCGCCAGAAAAAGCAATAATTTTTTTATTTAAATTGTGTTTTGTGATAACACCTTCGATCAAACTTGTGACTGTTTCAGCTGTTTCGTTGTTGGTTTCTTGCAAGTCTAACATACGTACTTGAATTCCTCCCTGAATATGATCAAAGTACTAGACAACAATAGGGAATAATTTTTTATTGCCGTGATTACTGCTGTCCGTACTTATACTCACAAATGGAATATTCTTAAGGTCATTAGAAACCATGAGTATACAGTGGGGTGATAATACACCGTTTATAATTGCTTCAGTTTTTGTACGGGCGCACGATATTTTTTTGGCAATATCAGAGTCGTCGAAAAGGGTACGCAAGAGAGTTGAAGTGCAGTCCATTGATTTAAAGCTGTTATGATGTTTCACGATATGAAATGCTAACGTTCCTTCTGCTGCTGATATTTTTAAAGCAAGGGGTGTCGATTTATGCACAACAAAGTTTGTCATTGATTTAGATGTTGATGCATCTCGAATGTTCCTAGCGTGCTTCGGTGTATTAATGTGCTTTTCCAGATCGGTTGATCCTAAAAACGAACGAAAAATAATGAACAAGAAGCTATTATATTAGTAACAAAGCGACGTAATTCATGCGATGTGCACCTGACAATATAGAGCTGATCCGTGTGTCGGTGCAACGCATGTTTTTTCTCTCCCAGAGGAAAAAGTTGAGTATCGCGAGGGAATTCTCTTAAATTCAGTGTATTGTTCAATTATTAATTATGTCTGGTTAAGATAATATAGTTATACATAGAATTAATAAATACCAACCACTATTCGCTATTGAAACATATGAATCACAAATTTGACATTTTGCTTCAAACTCACTTCGACCTTTACCGAAACATGAGTACTTCCGGCGTAAGTCGTCGGTAAAATGACATTTTCTTTTTGGCGGCATCTCGATTTGTCAGTTTTTTCTAAACTTTTCACGAACCAACGAAAAAATATATATTTTAATTTCGCGGATGACGGACATGCATGGATTTTTTTTCATTGTGTATTTAATGTGCCGTCAACCATGTGACGTTTAGTTGGTTTATTGACACTGACAGGGACATGCACTGAGACAACAGGCAAGGTTATGTAACAAAGTACGACACGAATCAAATCCGCAACTCGCAAGAGTCGCAAACAATTAATGCGGAGAACGCGTTGCGCATCACGCGCGTGTTTCGAATTGATGAGCATGGTGTTTTCAAGAAAAGTGATTTTGGCAAAGTTGCACAATTTCATTAATGCATTCGTTCTGACCGTAAATTGCAAAAACATTAAAGATCTTGAGGGACTTATTTGGCGCTTTGGTTTTTCTCTTTCTGAACACACTCACCCGCCCATAAAGCATAGCAGACAAAACGTAAGTTTGCCTATCGGCGATAAATCAGGACATTTCACTTATTTTAAAAAATAAATCAGGACGCTTTTAAAATCATCCAAAATCAGGACATGTCCTGCTAAATCAGGACGGATGGTAAGCCTAGGTATAATTGATGTCGTGCACGACTGATTTTAGCGCTTATATAACAGATCCGTCAGTAGTGCCAGTATCGGGCCTGTTGTTTTACCAGTGCAAAAACGATGCTTAGTAAAATTACAGTTCCAATGTTGGTCCTGTCTTCTTGTCAATATTGGCCCAATATGGATGCCGAGTACTGGTGAAACAAGCAGGCTAATATTGGGCCATTTATAAATACAAGATTGGGACAAGACTGGGCCAATTGTCAATATCGAATATCAGCTATCATGGTTGGGCCTTTATTGGTCCAGTGGTACTACAGGAATGCTATCGGCAATTCCTACATGGGTAAGAAAATCTCTTTTTTCAGCATAACAAACATAATTCACCGGTGAAAGAGCGTTGCCAGCTTTTGTTTGTAAGCTAACCACGAAGAGATTTTCGACTGCGAAGGGAAAACAGGGCGTACTGTGTTCTCGCGTGAAGGAAAAACAGGGCGCACACGTATCTCCGCACGTTTCTCTCGATCTCGCGAAGAAAACTGCGCGAGCGTCTTTAATCTAAAACCTAATGATAATCACATTGAATTTGGTCGGAGACACTACCGCGTCTCCTGATACTTGCTTCTTTTTCTGATAATCATAATTCTTAATATCACAATACACCGTCAATATAGATCATATCATACGAATTTTTTATAAAGATTTCACATATTTGTTGTAGTAACTCAAATATGTGATGTAGTTTTTCCTTTTGTAATATATTGTGTTAATATATTGTGTTAACATATTGTGTTAATGTGATATAAAATATTTATATTCTTTCGATTTATAATTTGATTTTTTCGTAATTTCATATTAATAATTAAATATTTTATTAAAAATATGTATTTATTGCTAAAAATATTAGAAGTTTATTGCTACATATCTTATTGATTGCATTTTTTTCATTATCTAGAGTTTTGTGATAAAAACATGAAAACATAAATTAAAAAAGAATTATGAATAATTATTTAAAAGAAATTATATTAGATAACACGTACGAATTGACGCTTCAAGCTGCGTGTGCAAAGAGTAACACGATGTTGAAAAGCAGTACGTTCATTAACGTTCTTTGCGTAATATTTCGGTATGCTTTTGTAGTACTCGCTTTTAATTTACTCGGATTATTACGTCTAAATAATAATCTGTTATCTAAAGTTCGTAAAGTATAAAGTTCGGAAATTCTTTGTCCAATTTAATTTAAACTAGAATTCTCTCAGCAATTCTTCTTGAAATTTTTACAAGTCCTTTTTCCTTGAACTCGTCGCTTTTCTTCTGTCTGTAATTCACATCAAACCTGCTCGGGAGTTACCACTCTTTTCATCGGACAAGTGATTTCCACGAAGTCTCTTACTTCTTTTGCCGCGACATCATATTAGAAAGCAACCTTTTTTTATAAACATGATATCAAATTATATTTGAAGCGTGATTATGATAGATAAATTATTCGTAATAAATTTTTAATTTATCGATCTGCTGTTTGAACTTATTAGGCGCTTACAATACTATTGCTGTTATACTACAATATATCTTATAGCGATTTCGGCTGGTCGAATGGTGCAGTCCCTCACTGGAGCTGCGTATTCGTCTGGGCTTAGTACACCGTATAGATGCATGTTGGATTGGGTGTACACAAAGTGGCTCTCACAAATTTGTTGAAGTCAGTTGGTGTAATCGGTATATTCTTTTCTACCCTCTTCTACCCTCTACAGCGCTCATCCTCCTTCTCCCTATTTCTCGTTTGCACCCGCTAAACCTCAATGTTTATGCATCCTAAGATAGCGATGATATCGCTCGATATAATACACCTACATTGGATGCGAGACAACACTGCCACTTGTCCACCTCGATACTTGAATCGCGGTAAGAAAGTGATGCTGAGAGCGGGACGTTCACTCGTCGACGAAAGGTTTTTCTCAAAAATGAGTTCAATCGGACTTTATTAAATCTTGTCGTGAGACGCACACATACACTATTCGCGTTTTTTATTCAATCCGTATGTAGGAATTGACAAACGGCCCAGTATTGGGTCAATATCGGCAAACGAGACTCGATATCGGCATGATATTAGTAGCCAATACTGGACGAATATGCTTAGTGATCAGATCAGGCCAACGCTGGCTCTTAAGCCTGGTACGATATTAACTTTCGTTATTGGCCCTGTTATTAATACCTTTCGGGTATTAGAAATTGTACTAACACGACTGTTCTTATAACAGTAAAAGATAAAGACTTTTATTATAGTTGGATTACACAATACGCGTGAGCCCTCGCATGGACGCGAAGCGACTGCCCTTCCGCAGGTCCTAATATCCCCGCGCCACACGCACGTCTTCTGTTTTTCTTACAATCTTTTCCTGACAGGTCCGATTTCTTTTAAGTATTTGCACAATGTTGCAGTTTGATACTGGCGGGACAATCTTAGCCAATACTGGCCGAATATTCTTAAATCAAAACAGACCGAAGTTGGCATTTAAGCTTGGTATGGTGTGATACTTATTGTTAGTGGAAAGAATTAACAATGCTCTTAAATTGTCAGAATTAATTTTATTAACAAAAAAATTATAATGCCATCAAATTTTTCAACTTAAATCAGTCGGACAAATTTTCGAACAAATTTTCGAACAAAAAATAAGATTATAATTTTTAATTTCATCGATTGACTAAATAAAAACAAGAAAAAATAACAATACGAGTAATATTTTTGCGCACAGAACAAAAAATAAAATTTGTTTTTCAAAATCTAGTAATAGTATAACTAAAGTATAGTCTAGTATAACTAATCAAATAAAAAATAACTTTTTATATACTAAACATACACATATATAATAAGAAACATTGAACAGAACCTATTAAAACTGTAACTTACAGATTGGACCGTCAGTAGTGCCAGTATCGGGCCTGTTGTTTTTACCAGTGCAAAAACGATGCTTGGTAAAATTATAGTTCTAATGTTGGTCCTGTCTTCTTGTCAATATTGGCCCAATATGGATGCCGAGTACTGGTGAAACAAGCAGGCTAATATTGGGTCATTTATAAATACAAGATTGGGACAAGACTGGGCCAATTGTCAATATCGAATATCGGCTATCATGGTTGGGCCTTTATTGGTCTAGTGGTACTACAGGAATGCAATTCCTACATGGGTAAGAAAATCTCATTTTTCAGCATAACAAACATAATTCACCGGTGAAAGAGTGTTGCCAGCTTTTGTAAGCTAACCACGAAGAGATTTTCGACTGGGAAAATTTTGAAGGGAAAACGGCGCACTGTGTTCTCGCGCGAAGGGAAACAGGGCGCACACGTAGCACGTTTCTCTCGATCCCGCGAAGAAAACTGCGCGAGCGTCTTTAATCTAAAATCTAATGATAATAATAATAATAATAATAATAATATAACGTAACGGGGGAGGCGTTCTTCTTTCGAAGCGCCGCCCGCGGTACCCAGACATTGTCCATTGTGCCTCTCCTCATAAACTTACTCATGAGAGACCTGTTTTTCTCCAAAAGAGAATCAGATCTCTCACCGGCAGCTCCCTGATCTGCTCGGGCCCAAGTAGTGCTGAGCCTAGCATCTTGTGTCTTAACCCTGCATGTGCAGGACAGTCGCTGAGTACATGAAGGCTTGTTTTCTCGTCGAAAACCTAATGATAATCACATTGAATTTGGTCAGAGACACTACCGCGTCTCCTGATACTTGCTTCTTTTTCTGATAATCATAATTCTTAATATCACAATACACCGTCAATATCGATCATATCATACGAATCTTTTATAAAGATTTCATATATTTGTGTAGTAACTCAAATATGTGATGTAGTTTTTCCTCTTGTAATATATTGTGTTAATATATTGTGTTAATGTGATATAAAATATTTATATTCTTTCGATTTATAATTTGATTTTTTCGTAATTTCATATTAATAATTAAATATTTTATTAAAAATATGTATTTATTGCTAAAAATATTAGAAGTTTATTGCTACATATCTTATTGATTGCATTTATTTCATTATCTAAAGTTTTGTGATAAAAACATGAAGACATAAATTAAAAAAAATTATGAATAATTATTTAAAAGAAATTATATTAGATAACACGTACGAATTGACGTCTCAAGCTGCGTGTGCAAAGAGTAACACGATGTTGAAAAGCAGTACGTTCATTAACGTTCTTTGCGTAATATTTCAGTATGCTTTTGTAGTACTCGCTTTTAATTTACTCGGATTATTACGTCTAAATAATAATCTATTATCTAAAGTCCGTAAAGTATAAAGTTCGGAAATTCTTTGTCGAATTTAATTTAAACTAGAATTCTCTCAGCAATTCTTCTTGAAATTTTTACAAGTCCTTTTTCCTTGAATTCGTCGCTTTTCTTCTCTCTGCAATTCACATCAAACCTGCTCGGGAGTTACCACTCTTTTCACCGGACAAGTGATTTCCACGAAGTCTCTTACTTCTTTTGCCGCGACATCATATTAGAAAGCAACCTTTTTCCATAAACATGATATCAAATTATATTTGAAGCGTGATTATGGTAGATAAATCATTCGTAATAAATTTTTAATTTATCGATCTGCTGTTTGAACTTATTAGGCGTTTACAGTACTATTGCTGTTATACTACAATATATCTTAGATTATCATTATGCTCCACCGATAATGAAAAATAGTAAGCTGTAATGCAATTTGAGATTAATTTACAAATTAATGTATAATTTTGTCCATGTGCAGTTGATTTCATTTTGTACAGATGCGTTTCAAAAATAATGTTCTACTCGATATTGGTTTAAGCAATGCGTTCGGGTGGAATATTGATGTTTCTCTCCCGCGGGTGTTGCAGTATCCCCAGTTAAAATTCCTACCAGCTTTTGTCACAAAACCCAATTCATGTTCCCCTTGTTTACTCTGACGTCGAGGGGGATGACTGCCAGTAACAGATTTTGCGCGTGGCGGCTATAGTTTCGTAACGATGTGAATGGACTCGCGAAACTGCTCGATCCCTTGTCTCGATTGTTTCCGGTGTTTGAACATGTGTTGAAAACGCGTGATTAATGTATCGATACTTAGTCTCAAAATGACTAGTGGCATAAGGCTGGAATCCAATTGTGTGGTTAATTTCTCAACTATTTCTATAATTCGTTTTGGTTTCTCAATCCGATTCCTTTCAATCAGATTTGTTTCCTATCTTTTCTTAAGAATTGCATCTCATTTTACATACTATATTGTTGTGTGAATTTTTGCGTACAATTTAGAAATGTACATTTATACTGTGGCGTTTTACTACTCATATTTGATATGTCTGTGGAAAGACTGTATACATTTATATGTTCGTTCTTTGCATTTATATGTTCGTTCTTTGCATTTATATGTTCGTTCTTTGCAAACTATTTCACGTGAAATAGTTCAACTAACTCAATCTTTCACCAATAAAGAGACAAATTGAGATAATTCTAAGCGTATGTATATGAATCACGTACTACGTCTTATGGAATTAGTGCAAATTTTTTATATTTGTTTTTGTATAAATTAATATATGAAAAAATAACAAAAAGATTTGTCTATAAATTTTGACCGACTTCAATTCAATACAATGGAGAAATGTTACGAGTTTAGATTATACGGAAAATATTACAAATTTGTATAAAGATGATTAAAAAAGTGGAAAAACATTATATTATATTATATTGATAACCAATGCTTACTGTTGCTAAATTAATGGCATGAATGTAGTGCTACGCGTAATTAATTCTGGTGGCGCGACTTATTTATTTGGGACGCGTAGAAACATTATTTGCTTACAACAACTTAAAAACTAGAAAAAAATCGAATTTACATTTCAGTTTTTATGTCATGTTCAGAGTGAATAGCTTTATTGCGTTACAGAATCGTGGAGATTTCGCTTCCCTGGTTCGGAATTTACTTGGACCTATTTACGGCGACGGTGTTATGAATCTGCTGATAAGACAAGCGCGGGACATCCTCGTTTGTGCTTATCATGGCAATTTGGACAACTTTGTCCGGATTTATCTATCACCTGCTGCGGCTTTGCTGGCGGAAGTCAAGAATGTTGCCTCTGAAACGGTGAGTTACTTTACAATGTATAATTGTGCCATGAGCGTATAATGTTAAAACGTTCGTGGTATTAGCCGGATAGAAAAAGAACACGTGTAAAGAGAAAACTGCTTGCACAGATAATTCCATGAAGCGATTAAGGTAATCAGACGCATGCTCTCCGTGTACGGTTAGATATCTGGGATGCAGTTTGCGGGTATGATTACGAAATTCTAGTCATTCTCCTTTTGAAGATATCACGGGTATCGATTAAAATTACATACAGGAATCTGCTATCGTTCGTATAATTTTCGATGTATGCGTATTTTTCCGTAGAATCTTTTTAATTAGTTTATTTTAGTTGTGAAAACAAAAAGACGAACGGAAATATTCTTTATTTTGTTAATAATTGAGTAATCCGCTGATATTCTTACGTACATATGTGTTTGTTAGATGATTATTAAGGTCTCTTAAACATTTTTTTTTTAAATCTTGGAGCAAATTAATTGATTTTTATTTAATTCAATTGAATTAATTTATTTTGCAATACGAAAAGTTTATCTCCTCGATTGGTATAATTCTTTTCGAGGAGTCTTATTTATATATATATATATAATTAAATCATTTTTCTCGCAATGGTTTGAGATATCAGTTGGGCGCGTCTGTTCTCTGAAAACATTCCGTACCCTTGCAAACCGCAATTAACCACGTGTAGGCCACGTGCTGTGACCCACTGCCGGCTCCTTTCGCTCTCTTGAGGGTAAAGGGCTGGAGCTGTTGATATTCCGCGAGAACAGATATTAACAACAAGGCGGGGTTGTTTCTCCGTTATATCACTTTGAGAGCTACTTCGTCGGCAGTTATTTCAGCCGTCGTTCATGACAGTTTAATTGAATCCGCCGCCATCAGCGCGGAATTGCACACTCATGTCAGTATGCGGTTCGTCCTGCTGCAATAAGATAACGTCATGTGAACGGCGCCACTACGATTTGCATTACAATACGTACAGTATAGCGATCAAATTATCCGGAATCGAAACACGGTTGTAATAGTTTAGTCTTTCTTGCCCAATCACATATCTTCAACAATTTTAAAAACGAAAAAAATAGTGTAATGAAGAAAATCAATTTTTCATAATCTACATTAAAGCTAATTTAATCGCATAATGCTCTCAAAATCTAAATCTTTTACGATAACAAATATTTCGACCGGCAATCAGGTCTTCTTCAGAGTTTCCATAAAATATAATTCATATATCAAAATTTATTTCATTTTTTTTCTAATACGCACGATCACTTAGTATTGGCTGTTGGATTTTTATTTGATCTTTTTTATTTGATCTTTTGATTTTGATTTATTTGTGGCCTTTAAATATAATTTTGTTTTAATTCTAAATGTTTTTTTGAATAATAAAACATAGGTAAAAGAACAAATAATCTGATATAAAAGGCGAAAAGAGTCGTTGCTAAGTGTTCGTGCCACAAAAATTCAACTATATTATAAAAGTTATAGAATTACAAAAGTTTCTGTTTATGTTAGGCCTTCTTCAGTATTACAAGTAAAATTCATAATAATAAAGTTTTTCAAAGTTAGGCAAATTGTGTTGCCAAATTGTGATCTAATAAGTAAAAGAGCTGTGCACGCTGTTTTAGTGCCAATAGAGTTGTGTATTCAATAACGGTACATATATCTTAGACTTTTCGGTTCTAGATTGAACCGTCTTTAGCAAAATGTGTAATTAATATAGTCAAACACCAAATAACGTGGTCAGAAATTTAAAACTGAGATTGCCTCTACAACATTTTGAGAATTTATGAACGTTATTATTATTTAAAGAAGTGTTGCATGGTTGAACGTTACAGTTAAAAATTATCTTTCGTCATTTCTTAATTTTTTAAAATACTTTATTTATTTTTTGTCAACACAGGCCTCAAAATCTATTTTGTGGAATTGACAAGAAATAAAAATCAAAATTACAGTTTCTTTCTCACACTATACAGATTTGTCGGTGTGACTTAACTAACAACAAGCATATATTCTTAGCGGTGAATAAATGTACGAGACTCGAGATTCGCATGTCGGATCAGTGTTTTTCTATCGGTATTACATCGCTCGCGCGACCGAGGAACGATACTTTTAAAACTTGAAAATAGTACTGCTTATAGCGGAGCCTTGACAATAATATCAATATATATATTGCATCATGCGAAAGATTGTGAAGCAAATTATATATAGATAGGAACGACAAAAATACACTTACAAGCTAAATAATTATTTATGTTATGAAGCAGAATTGAACGAAAAAAGGGCGTTTAATACATTTTGTAGTAATTTGTAATTTCTATATTTCATAACTTAAAAATTACAATTTTGGCTCAAATTATTCAAATAAATTATTAAAAACAAGCTACAGAGCCCAAGCTGGATTTAAGTTTATTAGAAGGATGACTTTCAAGAGATGTTTTCCATCTAAACAATTTTAAAA